CTGGCGTGCTGCAACTGTATGGACCCCACTTCGTGAAATGTTGGCACAGAGGGCTCTTGTTGATTTGCTGGCCCGCCTTCACTTAGGGCGGGCACAAGGCTTGCTGGGGCCTTAGCCCAGAACATGTACATCATGGCAAGGCCCTTAGCCCAGAACATGTACATCATGGCAAGGCCCCTACTCGAGGGCTCAATCCTCACATTCCATCCCCCTTAGCTTCGAAAGTCCGCTGAGATGCTTACTTCGCAGGTGCCTTCCCTTTCAATAGCCTCTCATACTCTGCCACCACCTGAGGAGCTGTCTCGATTAGTTCCTCCCTGGTAAACCATCGATCTTCTTTAGGATCCGTATGATGCCTGAATCTGACGCGGTACTCTCTCTTGGGTTTAGGAGGTCTTCCTCGACCCAGCGGCTTCGGAACAAGCATATCCCTGTGATCCACAATGTCGTCGATGTCCACTTGTCCATCCATGGTTGGGGGCAGCGTCAATGTCCTGGAAGGGAATTGATTTGTCTCAGCGAAAGGTGCAAGCTTTGAGGCATGAAAGACTGGGTGAGCGCGTAGGTGTCCAGGGACACGAATGACATATGTGGGACCATCCATCTCATCTCCCACTATATCCAGGACTTCCCAGGGACCAAAGTACTGAGGCATTCGTTTGCGAGAGATTCCAAACTCCTGTCCTAACTCACTAGCCTTGACCCAGACTCGTTCCCCTACTTGAAATGTGGACTGTCTGCGATGTTGATTCTCAAAAGCAATCATTGCTTGCCGAGCTTTCTTCATATGCTCGACAGCCTCTTGCAGCAAGTTCTCATACTGCACACCATACTCTAGTGTGCTTGGAAGCAGGTCGGTTTTCAGGTAGGAGGAAGTCTAGTGCTGATCTAGGCTTCCATCCCAAGTGCAACTGATTAGGACTAACGTCGGTACTACTATGGATAGCATTTTTGTACAAGCTGGCGATGAGAGGCAACTGTTCATCCCAATCATCTTGGCTGGGGTTGATGTAATGCTGCAGCAAGTGTTGTACAACTCAGTTCATTGGTTCGGCTTGTCCGTTGGCTTTGGGATGATTCCCTGAAGTCATTTGAAGTTGACTGCCCATCTGTTCTGCAGTCTTCTTCCATTGTTCACTTGTGAATCGGACATCTCGGTCACTAACGATTGACTTTGGTAAACCAAAGTCACGCACCCAGTTGTCTTTGAACAACTTGATGACGAAGTCAGTTCTTGCGGTCTCTGGCATAGCCACTAGCGTACTTGGTGAATCGGTCGATGATGATAAAGATGTGCCTCTTGCCACTCTTACTAGTCACCAGGGTGTCCCTGAAATCCATGGAGAAACTCTGTCCTGGACCAACAGGGATAGGCAAAGGCTTCCACAACCCAAGCGGTGCTTGAGTTCGCGGCTTATCCCGCTGACAGACCTGACAGGTCTCTACGTACTTCTTTGCGTCATCAAACATACCAGGCCACCAAAATCGCTGTACTAAGTTAGCACTCGTCTTCTTGTAGCCAAAGTGCCCAGTTGCGTCATGGCATTCGCCTAAAAATAAACTACACAAGGGTTCACTAGATGGAACTACTAACCTTTTTATTCCTGCCTTATGAAGATAGAGTAACCCGTCCACCATCACAAACTCACTTTCCGTGGCCTTGTCTTTTGCCTGAAGCTTGCGAATGATGTCCATCGTGACAGGGTCTTCCTGATAGGCTCCCACCAATGATTGAGTTACTTCTTCAGATACGCCAAAGTCAGAAACTAGCGCACCTAGGTAGTCTGCTCTACGTGATAATGCATCAACAACCTCGTTATACTCTCCCTTCAGGTACTCAAGCTTGAAGTCATATTGGTCTATGACCTCAATCCATCGCTTGAGGGCGTAAGAAAGAGCCTGTTGAGTCTTGATCCATTTGAGGGTCTGATGATCAGTCCTCAAGTAGAAGAACCTTCCTAGAAAGAAGTGTCTCCAATGGACAAGTGCTTTATACAGAGCATAGCGTTCCCTCTCGTAGGTGGACTTTGCCAACTTTTTTGATGGCATCTTCTTGCTCATGTACTCAATCGGTCTCAACTTTTTTCCATCCTGCTGAGCCAGCACTGCGCCAATGCCGTATTGGCTTGCGTCAGTGGTCACTATGAATGGCTTCTGCGGATCGGGAACCGTGAGAACCTCATGATTCATGAGTGCATGCTTCAATCTCTTGAAAGCACCCTCGCACTCATCACTCCAGTCCCACGGTGTGTCAAGTCGAGTCACTACAAACTCATACAGACCATAACGAGTCTGAAAAGTTGTCTTGTGTTGGTCCTCAGGTCTTATTGCGAGCTGGTGATATCCGGATTTCAAGTCTATCTTGCTATAGTACTTGCATCCCTGCACCCTATCCAATAGGTCGTCTATGCGAGGTAGAGGCTCTGCGTTCTTCACAGTGATGGCATTGAGGCCTCTATAATCAATGCACATCCTCAAAGTACCCCCCTTCTTAGGTACGAATAGAACAGGTGATCCGTAAGGGGAAGTACTAGGCCGAATCCAACCCTTCTCTGTCAGCTCCTGAAGCTGTTTCCGAAGTTCATCTAACTCGGCGGGGGCCATCCTATAGATCCTTCCCTTTGGGGTCTTACTACCTGGAATGATTTCTATAGCGTGGACGACTTCCCTTTCAACAACTCCAGTGGGCTCCTCGAACAGATCAGGGAACTTAGCAACGACGCGTTCTATCTCTGGGGGTGTTTTAACGGCCTCCCCTTCTCAGAGACGTAAACAAGGTACATACCCTCCTCTTGGTTCTGCTTATAGTAGTTGTAGAACGTTGATGCGCATAAGCAACCATAGGTATCTATAATACTACTGGCATTGAACTTAGTCAATCTGACAGTTCGGCCATTGGAAACTTATGCTCGAGCACCTTCTTGTCCCAGTCGAACTGGGGCTTAGCAACTTCGAGGTAGTACATGCCTAACAGCATTTCAAATGGCAAGTCGTCGCTAACCAAGAACGAGATCTTATGGTTAAGATCACGTCCTCCATAGGAGAAGGTACAGACTACATCCTCGATGTAGTCTGTTACAATCATGCGCTCCTTGTTCGCCAAAGTAGATGCTACAGGTCTACTAAGGTGTCGTACCCGGTCCTGTAGGTGCAGCCTTTCCAAACAGTCGGGACTTATATAATTCCGCGTGGAGCCTATGTCTATGAAGGCACCACATTTGCGGCCTCCTACATCGACTTCCACCACGAAATGTTCCCCAGTAGGACCTTTCCTTAGCGCCACCCAAGACTCGCGAGGGTCCTTGTTTGACCACTCACTCTCCAAGTCCTCTAAGGCTTCAGACACATCTAACGTACATAGCATAGTTTGGTTTAGTTGTGTCTGTGGGGTGACTAAGGGGTCATTAGCCTTGGCCTTTTCATGAAGTGGGGAGGGTATCAATCCTACTTCATCTTGAGTAGAAGCAACTAATACTTCCACTGGCCTCACGTGTTTCCCGAGCTAGAAGTCTGGGAATAAGTTGCCCCTATCTTTGGAGCAACCTTTTGCGTAACCTTAGCGTTCTGGCACTTGTACTGCGAGTGTCCGTATTCCCCGCAGTTGATACAAGCGCCACGTGTTCGGCGGCCACGCCACACGTCTTGATCAAGACCTGCCTTAACCCACTCAGCCTGTTTGGTCTGATTGGAGGCGGCCTTCCCTTGACCCCTAGGTTGGCCCTTCCTTCGGCCAGCCGCCTTAGTCTTAACTACTGCGGCGAGGGTGCTACCCTCAGCTACCTCCTCGTCGTCATACTCTGAATAGTCCATCAGGTCAGAGAGTTCGTCAATCTCAGTTTGAGTCCCTTCAGACTCAACCATCATCAACTTTGCTCCCTTCTCATTCCACTCCTGAGGACTCTTCTTCTTCTTTGAGTCAGTTTGTGAGGTGGGTTGAGCATTGCCTAGAGTGGCTTCCAAATCTAAAGCCGTCCTAGACAATGTCTCAAACGAATGATACTCTGTGCGTGCCTGGCTGGCCAGCAAGTTCCTGATGCTCTCTGGCAAACATCTAACAAACGTTGTTAACAGGAACTGGTCACTGTAGTTGATGCCTGGGACGAGGATCGGGCTCTCAACGGTAGTCGTAAGCTCTCTAACTGACCTGAACTTTCGTTGGTCTAGTTTGTTAATGGCATCAGTGGCCTTTTGTGCCTCCTGTGGATTATGCCATCGAGCTTCTACCATTTCCATGAACTGGTCTAACGTCAGAGACTTAGCCCAGTCTGCCATGTGTCGCCCGTACCCGGCCCTCACAACTACTCCATCTAGCCATTTGGCTGCCTTACCCTCAAGGTAGGATGCAACAGTTACCACTTCGTCCTCAGGCAAGGTCCTCTTTGCCTTCACCCAAACCGGGACCGTTCTCAACCATGTGTTGAGTTCCTCGTCCTTTCTCTCGCCTGAGAAGGCAAGAGGCGGTTTCATCGGGGTCTTAGGATACCATTGACCTTGCGTCTGTCCAGATTGCTGAACACGTTGTTGCGGTGATGTAGCTATCACCGCTGGACCCGAAGAAGAAGATGCAACAGTCTGTAAGGCTGCTGTAGACGCACCACTTGGCTGTGTACCAGCTTGAACTGGAAAGTGGCCAGACATCGCCGATAACGGCAATGGCGATTGTGCTGGTGGCCTGTATCCTGGCCTTGTCAACACGTCTAGGATCTGGTCCAAAGTGCTCTGCATGAAGTCCAACCTGCTGTCCACATGCGCATGCAGTGACAGCATGTTCTTCCTCAACAGTTTCATGGGCTCATTCATTCCTGAATCATCTAAGCCCTCCAACTCAGCTTTGTCAGCCTCTAGAGTTTCAAGCCTGGCTGTTCTATTTTTAATCTCCCTTTCTTTGTCGGTAGCTTTCTTCAGATCCCTCTCTAACTGTTCACGGATCTGTTCGACCTGTTGGAGCTCTCTAATTTCCCTTTCGCGAGGAGTCAACGGGCTGAACTGCGAGCCCGCCATTTGACTTGTAGACTGTCGTGATCCTACAGAACTGGAAGTGCCCGTGGACCCTGTTGGCATTCCAAACTAGGGTCCAGCCGAGAACGCAACAGAAGTTGCAGCGGAGGATGCTGCCGCAAAAGACATGGCTGTTGCCCTGGCTGCTGCAGCAGCCTGTTCCCTAGCTGCAACGTTTGCTGCCTCTCTCGATGCTGCGAGAGCACGGGCTCTGCGTTCGGCATGAATGCGTCTTTCGTCTTCCGGTTGTACGGCCTGGAACACGTGCGGGATCCTACGTGACCTTGCCCGTGTTAGTCTACGATCGTCAACTCTCTCCTCATCGACGTCTGACCCGTTCATGAATTAGGCAAACATTATCTGTACTAGAACCCCCTAGTGGAGTCCTACCACAACATGTGTCTGACCGGCACCTAATTTTCTAAATATGGTTGTGCCCGGCAGGTCCCCTACTGTACCGATCAAGTGGCATGTCTACAACATTCACACAGATTGTCTGCATAGTCTAGATGTACTCTGATTAGTTCACTTACAGCCAACATTAGAGAGAACTGGATATGGTAGCATACTACAGTCTTAATCTAATTTGTCTGTGAGGTGTTAGCAGTCTGTCCACCAACTAATCAAGAATACAAAATGACCATGCAGCAGATGTATGATTGATGGGTATGGTTGTGTATACAAATGAGCTTCAACTGGAACCTACGCTTCCCCTCAATCCAACGTACCGGACAACATCATTAAGCGAGCAGTGTCTTCGAGTGTGTATCGGCCCACCCCTGTGCCCAAGTCAGAGCCAAGTAAGCCAGCCAGCCCACTCTTGTTTACCGTCGTACGGAAACGAGCCTTACACCCGGATGATCTGGCTGATCAGGAGGATTATTAAGAGCGCCCCCATCTCTTCAGGAATTCTTTAACGTCGCAGTCAGGACTACGATCACAGCCAGAATCATTCCGAGTACCCAACCAGAAATGTTTATAGACGGTCTGGTAAGCGTCTCATACAAGGCTGGCACACTTGGCAAGACTTCTATTTGGCGCAGCAAAGTGCCTTTATGGACAACAGCCATCGCATGCGTGACCTACTCCCATTGGGTTGGCATGGTGACCGTGACCCAGTGCTTTGACCAGGGCCCTTCAGAGGCACCGCCTTTTCTCCTTCCAGATGCTTCCGGGAAGATTGTCGTCTCTCAAGGTAGCACGCTCACGACACCTCACCAAGGAGAGGACTCTCAAGTTGGACTCACTTCCTCACGGTAAGAAGAGATTGAGAAGGTAGATAAGGTAAGGGATCAACATACCTGGAGATAGCTGCCCCCAACCACAGATTTCTCACCAATTGAGCTGAAGTTGCATTTGATGACCGGTCATGACCTCGGTACCACCCACAACGCAATGCAGTGCC